GCCAATGGGAGAAACAGGGATGCAAAGCCAGGTAAGCATCCCCCCTCATACCCAGACCCCCTCACCCCCAGGCTGCTCCTGCTCCTGTACCTCCCTCCTGGCCACCACCCTGCTCCTACCTCCAACCATGCTCCCGCACTCTTCCTCCTGGCCACACACTGCATCCTCCCTTGCTCAATCCTCCCCCCCCCGGCCAGACACCCTACTCCCAGACTGCTCCTGCACCCCACTTTCCTCCCAGACCTCACCCCCTCACCCCGTCCTGCTGTTTACCTCCTGCCCAGATCCTGCATCCCCATCTGTATCCCACATGCTGGCAGCCATGTCCTGCACATTGAACCCCTCATTTTTGTTCCCACTCCAGAGCTGAGGGAGGTCCAGAAAATCCACTAACCCTGGAACCCCAGAAGAGTAAATCTGGCCTATGGGAAGCCCTGAACCTTAATCCTCCCTGTCCCTCCCCCAGAGCATGAGAGGAGAGAGGTGTCTCAGTTGGGGGCCACTTCAGTGAGGGTTGGGTTTTTTGTATCGTTATTTTGCTTCTCACTTGTGTGGTCCCCAACTGATTTTTCTGGGAGTCAGTGGCCCCTGACACAAAAAAATGCTCCCCACCCCTGCCATAAATAAAGAAAACATGGAAACCTTTTGTGTTGGACATAAATTAATATTTTACTTTATTTAAAATAAAGTTTGATAAACTAACATGAAAAAGGTAAAACTCTTAATCTGTTTCATAATTTAAATTAATATTTCCTTTCTTACTGAATAAATTTAACCATTCTCCCTAGCTGCAGCACTAGCAAAATGGCTCAGACATAATTGTGTAATTAACAGCGAGTTTCCATTAGCAACTGGTGGGCCGCTGAAAGGTTTGCACTGAGCCAGGTGGGCCACTGATTTAGTGTAACTGTAGAAACTGATGTCAAACTGTTTTTTGCATCTTTCTAAACTATTTCCCTCAATAATATCCTGAAGAATCACAGAACATTCTTGAAATGGAATTTAATTGAACTGCTTAATGTTTAGTTAAATTAAATGGTGCCCAGATTCATCAAAATAAAACCAAAATAACATGAACCGGCATAATAACTGTTGTGTATGGAATTCAACTACTGAAGCAGGAGAAGAATGAGTGCAGGTCAACAGTGGCATCAAGTGGACAAAGACTTGTTAGCAACTTTGCTTTCTTCTAGCCGGAAGAGATCTCAACTCCTGTTAACTCTGGTGCCACATAAAATATTGTAAAATACACATGGAAGAATCATGGGAACTTGGCTCAATCTGCCCCCAGGGGGAAGATGAGTCATATTTCACCTCTCACCTCCCCCCTGTTATCAGACTAGAGCTGTCTGTTTTGTGGGAAAGATCAAGATGCTGGTTCGTATCTGGGGAATGAACTCACATCACCAGGGCCCCGCAAATTTGCTCCAGTGAAAGCCTGGGAGAAGGGAGGCCTGCCCGCCAACTCTTTTAACAAAGCATGACGGGAAGGTTAAGACTGAGGCCAGGCAGGCCTTTTTCTTTGTGACTATGGAGGAGGACAATGCTGAGGAAAAACAGGGCTTGGGAAGGTTAAGACTGAGGCTGTATAACAGGCAGGCCTTTTTCTTTGTGAGTATGGAGGAGGACAATGCTGAGGAAAAACAGGGCTGGCTGTTATATTGGAAGGAAAACGCAAGTCTGGGTCCAGAAGGATTTTCCCACTTGGAACACCGTTTAGCTATCTCAGGTACTTATATAGTATCTGAGGACCTCACATCCCTGGACTATGAACCCCATTTTAGAGACACAGGAACTGAGGCCCAAAGAGACTAAGGCCCAAAACTTAGGTGCTTAATTTCCAAAGACATCACAGAAGTGGGCGGATGAGGTTCTGTGGTCTGTCGTGTACAGGAGGTCAGACTAGATCAGTGTTTCTCAACCAGTGGTACGAGTACCCTTAGGGATACTTGAGAGAAGTCTGGGGGGTACGTCAGCACAACTGACATTTGAAGAAAACTGAATTTTTGTTTTAAGTTTTACAGCGCTTTATTATTTTTGTACTTTTTACACCCAAAAATTTCATCGCCTGCCTGGCTACAATTAAGTTGTTTAAACAACTGTGTTGTAATGGTAGAAAAAAAAATTGTGTGTTTGAAAACTGTAGATACTGGGGGTACTTATAATTTTTTTTAAAAGGGGTACTTTATAAAAAAAAAAGGTTGAGAAACACTGGACTAGTTGAACATAATGGTCCTATCTGGCCTTAAGCCCTAGGACTCTATTCCATGGACATCATGAGAGGTGTGTATGTGTGAAATACCACACATTTTGAGCTGACTTTATTGCATGACTTACTAGAGAAATGGAATCAGGACTATCAAACTTCTTTTTAGAAAATCCAGGTTTTCTATAGCAGCAAGTGGAGATACCCTAGACATGATTAAAAATGCCAGGTAGGATCTCCCAAATATCTAGAAAGAGACTTGGGAATGATCAAACTTGACAAGTTTGGTTACAACAAACTCACTCGCTCTTGTTTTGGAGGGAGGGAGGAGGAGTCTGCCTCATTTGTCGCACTGCCCTTCTCCTGGTCCCCTGAAGCTCTGCTCTCCACCCTAAGGGCGCACATTACATTAAGCCTCCCTCTAAGAAAGTTGTGATTTGTGAGCTTCACCCTGCCTGAGATTTAAAGCTCTACCAACACGGTTTTTAACAGCACTGAATGAGGACATAAGAACCTCCAGACTGGATCAGACCAGAGGTCCATCCGGCCTGCTATCCTTTTCTTCCCACAGTGGCCAAAATATAATGGTGGTAGCACCCAAGTGACAAAGCACTCAGTGCTTAGGGAGTTAGGGGACATGCCAAGAGCCTGGACTTGGATTGTTTGTGTCTTTTAACTAACTTTTTAATCATTGCTGCTTTTAAAGCAACGGAGAGATGGATATTAGCCTTGCTTGCAGAAACGGGGACTTACATCTTGGCTTGTTTAGAACAAAAAACAGTAGCACATAGTTGCACAGACAACAAAGGGATGGAACCCTGGACGTTAATAAGACACTTTTGTGTCTTCATGGCCACACAAAGTCTTTCCCCCACATGCAGCACTTCCAGTCCTCTCTGATCCTTGGCTCAGGGACCATTGAGGTCATTGGGCACAGAAGGCAATCTAGGGTGGGGAGAGGGCAGATTTGGCGTGCACTGCCCAGTGCTGCTCCCTGACCAGTGAAGTGGCCCACAGGAGACCATTCTAGCCACTGTGAGTTAGAGAAACCCTGTGGCTGCTCTAACTTGTACCAGGGGCTGATTTGGCCCCAAGATCAGGCGGCAGCAGCCGGAAATGGCACCCAAAGAATAAGGAAAGGGTGATATGTTTTTACATTATCAAATAAGGGGAGAACAAAAGACCCCTCGGCAGCTCAATCCATTGTTCTAACTGTAAGACAGAAGTGAAAACCAACTCCGTTACTCACCCAAATTTTGTGCTGAGTGTCCCGCCCAGGCATGATCCGATGATCACTCCTATTCCAAAGCAAAGTCCAAGCTTCCCTAATGCATCCGCACGCTCAGCAGGAGACGTCAGATCTGTAATGACCATCTGAGCACCTACACAGATATTCAAAGACACTGGATAAGGAACACTGAACTAAAAGGAACAGAGGTTGGAGTCTGAGTGATCACTCTACTCCCTGAGGTAACCCTGCACATGTGCAAATGACAGAGCTCTCCCAGAGGTCAGACCTTGTAACATTGAGCCAGATCCTCGTGCAAGACCCCACAGAATGGGAGCTGACCCCAGAATGTCTTTCTGGGGGGTAAGTCTACACTGAAGT